AGGTCGGACAATAGTTTCTGGAAAATGTCTAAATTCTCCTCTATTGTCCTAGAGCTGTCCATCCTAAACCCTGACACCCTCTGCATGAGGTACATCCTATTGGGGAGAGATTGCTCTATGTGCAACCGCTCTAGTTTCCTCCAGATTCCGAAGGCCGTCCTTTCGGATATGACCTTCCTTAGAACCTGATCCGCTAGAGCAAGCACTATGAGGTTCCTAGCCCTTCTACTCCTTTCTTGTTTCTCTTTGAGAGCCGGAGTGCCCGATCCCTTAGCCCCGGGTCCTATGACCCGGTGGAAAGAGACGTAAGACCTCCCGAATCCTCGGTTTCCCGAGCTGGAGTTTGTGGGCTCCCCTCATCAGCAACCTCCCATGTAGATGGATCATCCTCTAGTGTGTCCCCTAACCCTAAGATCTCTAAGCTAATGGACATCTTCTCCTTCCATAAGGAGAAGTCTCCCTTGCCGTCGAACTTCTCGACGTCAAGGCCGCGATACAGAGGGGCAGACATCACTAAGGAATACCTAATCTCTAACCCGAGGATGCACTAGACCTACCCAGAACGAAACTAACCTGGGAATGACTAACCCGACCCTAGGAGCACCTAAAACCAGACCTAAGGAGCAAGACCGATCCTAAGAGGACCTAAACCTAGGTATCTTTCAACCTAACAGACCTAATAGACTCTAAACCTGTCTACCTAAGACCTGATTACGTCTAATCAGACCTACCCCAAGGCTAACACTGACCTAACCAGCCTAGATCAGACCTAAACCGAGTCTATTCTGTCCCCCTAAGTCCTAATCAGACCTAAGCCAACCCAATATTGACTTACCTACCCCTGATCAGACTTGAATTAACCTAATCAGATCTAACCTAAGTCTAAACCGACCTAATTAAATCTGATCAGACCTTATCTAGCCTCAAATCAACCCTAACAGACCTGTACCTATTGATTTTTAAGCCTAATACAGACTTCTAACTCGCCTAATTCAGCCAAATCCTTCTATTCAGGCCTAACCGGACAGAATTACCGGACTCTATGACTGAAGACAAGTAACCAAAGTCTACCGCAGATCTAATCTGCCTCCTTCTAGGATAGATCGACCTATACAGATCCTAAATACCCTATACTAGACAGACTGCCCTAAGAACTGGACTCTATCTAACCCAATCGAACCAATCAGACCTAAAACCAACCAATTTAAGTCCTAATCAGACAATCCTGACCCTAAACCAACCAATCTAGATCTTTTCTAGTCAATACAGACCCTAAACCAGACAAATCCAGCCCTATTTGGACAAATCAGACCCTAATCAGACCTAAATCGGCCCAATCCCAATGTAAATTGACCTAAACCGGACTCTATTATCCTAAACCGGTCCTAGCTTGACTAAACCAGTCTGGGTTATCCCGAACTGGACCTAAATGGACTCGAACCGGTCTGAACCGGTCCAATTGACCCCAAACCGGACCTGAACCGGTCTAATTGACCTGAACCGATCTGGCTTTCCTAACCCAGTCAACCGTTGACCAAAATTGGTCAACACCTTGACTTACCCAGATTAAACGGGTTCGATCTAAAATCGAATTCGGTTTAATCCGACAAATTGATTTAAACCGGCTAGACCGGATTTAAACCAGCAACCCTAGTTCGGAAGCTTTGGCAGCCGAGTTAACCCGAGTCAACACAGTGGTTGACTCACCCCGATTTCCGACTCAGATGTGACTCAGTGAGCCACGGCTGATTTCACCGGAGAACCGCCGGTTTTTCACCGGTTTTCCCTTCCCGCTCCTAGATCTAGCACTAAACCAGGTAATCTTACCTCCTTGGACTCTAAACTCGACTGTGTGACTCAGTCCGAGTCTAGATCCGGAACCTTACCTCTCTTCCACCACCGGATCTGAGCGCCGCCGCCGATGTACGTTGTCGATCTCCCCACGAGAAGGCTCCTTTCGACGTTTCGACTCTGAAACACTCGACACACACCGTTAGAACGCTCACACCTAAAACCAGAGTTTCGGACTTACCTCGACCGGCTCTCGCCGTCGATGTCCGCCACTCCCTGCCTCGCAACCAGGCTCTGATACCACTTGTAGAGGATTTACCCTCTCCAATACCTCACCGATGTCCTCTCCGATTCACACGTTCATGCCAAGAATAGAAAAGAAAGGAGACACCGGAGTTACGAGTTCGGTATCGAGCTCTAACACTCGATACCTACGTCTCGGGAAGAGGGAACCGCTATTTGCTAGGTACAACACAGAAACACGTCGGAGACTCGACCGGAGTCGACTACAGCGCAACCGGAGAACCGAAGTTCGCCCAGAGAGAGAGAGAGAAGAGAAACCCTAGAGAGAAGACCCAAAAAACGCAAGTGTTCTGAAAACCGAAAACCCTAGGACTCATAACGCGTCCCTTACAATTTTCCCAAACTACCCCTCAGAGTCTCTACTTCATTCCGAGGCTTTGGAAGCCTCCAAATGGGTCAGCGGGTTTGGACGAAGAACGCTTCCTACAGTTATGATTGTGGGGTCATTCTAAATAAAAAAAAACTAGGCTAGGTTTTTTTTCCAACTATATGTTCGTCTCTTTCTTTCAAATTCATTCATCAGTTTGTTTTTTATTCTTCATCTTACAATTAAGAGATTCTCTCCTGAAATTTTATTTTGATTCTCAGGTAAGTAGATTTTACGAAATGATAATTTTGGCCATCACGTTCGATTATTGTCCTTGTTGACATATTTTTCTGCCAAAGTTCTAGACAATCGACAGTCTCAAATTACAGTCTCGTCGTCTTTTACGATTTTAGGGACTATCTTCATTTAATTCGCTTTGTAAAAGGAAATCGGTTTCTTTTTTTTTTCATTTTTCTTCTTTATGGAAAGCCAACAGAACATGTGATTCTCTATATCTGTCAATTTCTTTCTCGTATTGATTATGACCTAGAATAAATTGTTACATTTCTTCGCCTCTTCCTTTTTCCTGACACCAAAAAAAATCTAAGCTCCGATTAAGGATAAGAGGTAATTGAGTTGTCCTTTTTTTTTAAGATGAGATAATCGAGTTGTTCGAATCACTAATGCTAAATTCGGATGATTGATTTGGTGACTAACGAGCTTTGAAGAACAATAAAAAAGTAAAATAAGACATAATAGACATATTTTTTATTAATTAATTGATTTATATTATAGTTTTCTTTACAGATTTTTTGTGAAGATCAATACACGTTCTCTATATATGTATATTTTTTTATCTTTAATCTTTTGGAGTTGAACTTTTAATAACCTGGTATGATGACTATGTACGTGTTTGTTTTTTAGTTGATTTAAGATGATTATGTTATGTATTTTGAACTTTGAATATTGTTTGTACTTGATAGATTATATATTTTATTTATGTTTTTGAGATTTTTAAAGATTTTTATTTCTTATTTTTTGTTATTTTTATATCGGATACGGATATTTTAAATATCTGTAGTTTTTGTGGATATTTAAAATAACGGATATTCGAAAACTATGGATCGGATACGAATAATAATACTTAATATTTGCACGGATCAGATGCGGATACAAATATCTAAAAATTTACGGATATCTGATCTGTGTCCATCCTATTGACACGTGACTTCTATAGTAATAAATTAAAAGTAAATATATTCATTTAACCATTGTAGACAGACATAACTCCTTTACGTTAATTTGATCAAAGTAAAATATATTCATTTAACCATTGCACACACAATTTCTTTAAGTGAACTTGGTCAAAAAATATTTTATACTTTCGATAAACATTTATTATGATTCTCTCTCATTCGTCGAATTTATTAACTATTTATAAAAAAAATACAATACATAATTTAAGATTGATAACAATGCATAAAAATCAGTTTGACATAAAATTGTATAGATCCAAAAAGGATACATGTTTATATCTATATACATCTCCTCAATTATTATCCTAATTTTTTTTATTGCACTCATTCCCACACGCGATTCTATTTTCGATATTCAATATATTTAAAATCTATTTGTTTTGGTATCATTTTATTTTCAACGTATAAACTTTCATATTCTCTCGATTAGGAATGGTCATTTCGGTTATTAACCAAATAACCGAATCGAACTATTATTATTCGGTATGATTCGGTTCGGTTATTTGTCTAATAACCGAAATGACCACCACTAATTAATCGAGAGTTCATATGTTGAAAATAAAATGAAAAGAATGTCAAATATATTTTTTTCAACAATATTTATTTTATATTATACTCAAATTTCAATCATGAAAAGAATGGAAATGAAGTTTAGTGATTTGAATAAATCATTATAGTTATGTATAATTTAATCCACAAAATCAAATTATGTTATCAACAAAAAATACATTAAGAGAGTAAAATGAATAAAATCATGAATAACATAATAACTGTTCGGACAAAATTTATACGGGCCTTTTTTTTATCCACATATATTGTTGGGCCTTTTGATAGTTTATATGGGCTTTTCCTATATTTTTGGAATTTCGCCTTTTTAGTTATATGGCATTCAAATAAAATAGTTATATGATTGTTTTCTAATTATTGTATTTTTTTATTATTTATAACAGGTTCCCTTTTTTTCTCCATTTTTATCTAACATGAAAAAGGAAACTGATAATAAAGTTAGCTCAATCTCATTGAAAAAAACCCAAACATGAAAAAGGAAAATAATATAAGAAAAAGGAAACAAATAATAACAGATTACATATTATATTATAAGAAAGGATAATATCAAGATTTGCTGAATATAAAACCGTGTTGTTGTATTCATTCGACCAAATAACGTACAGATAGACAAAAGAGTTTAAATCTCACTAATAAACTATACACTAAAATATATCTATAATATATTTTGATAAAATATCAGAGATCCTTATGTAGAAACCAAAATAAACTCACAGTGAAAGTGCTCAAAAAAAAATCTGTTTCGGTGAGAAACAGAACAAGGACACGTTTCTGAATAATTGACTCGAGAGTTTTCGAGAAACAGCTCTCTATCTATTTTATTCCCAAAACTACAACTTAAATAGAATCAAATCAACGATAAAGAAAAACAAACTTCCTCAAATCATGCTAAAATCCTGGAATCAGTTGCTCTTGTTATTGAACTGGTCTTTTGACCAAACCTTCTCTCTCTTGTCCGAAACTTCCGTCCTCTACTTCAGTCTACGAATCAAGATTATTCTCTGTCACTCTTCCCCTTAATCTTGTTCGCCTAACCTGATATTTCTGAGCCCAATCGCATGACGTAGTAGCTCCAGTCGTTCTCGCGTCAATGGCTTAGTTAATAAATCAGCCAATTGCTCTTCAGTCCTCACATAATCCAACTCAATCTCTTCCTTCTGTATGCAATCTCTTTCCCAAAGCCTTTCCTAATGACTACAAAAGCATCGAAATCCTCGCCGGAGACGGCAACTCTCCCGGCTCCATTCGCTTCATTACTTACGGCCCAAGTAAGGTTTTTTTATACTAGGGTTTAGGGGCTCATCATGTTTCTTGTGTGTCAACTGTCAAGTCATCGAAGCTTTACGATTTCTTTCAAGCATCGTGTCGATTTTTCCCAAAGCCTTTCCTAATGACTACAAAAGCATCGAAATCCTCGCCGGAGACGGCAACTCTCCCGGCTCCATTCGCTTCATTACTTACGGCCCAAGTAAGGTTTTTTTATACTAGGGTTTAGGGGCTCATCATGTTTCTTGTGTGTCAACTGTCAAGTCATCGAAGCTTTACGATTTCTTTCAAGCATCGTGTCGATTGGGAAATTACAGGCTCGGAGCTGGTGAAGACATCGAAGGAGAAGATAGAGTCCGTGGATTTGGAGAAGAGAAGCTTCACGTACAGCATCATGGACGGTGACATGTTGAAATACTACAAGAGCTTCACGGGCACGATCACTGTCACTCCTAAAGACGGAGGCAGCCTCGTGAAGTGGTCGGGCGAGTTCGTGAAGACAGGACACGAGATCGAAGACCCGCATGTCATCAAGGATTTCGCGGTCAAGAACTTCAAGGAGATTGATGAGCATCTTCTCAAGCAATAGAGCTCTCAAAACCTTTTTAGGAGCCTCGAAATTGCAACTATCTTTATAAGGGGTTCGTCTTAAAGCCGGTCTATAAAACGTTAAATAAAGTCGAATCCGTGCGAATTATATCAAGTGAAATCGAATCTGTACGATCTATATATGTATGGCTATGCATGGTTTTCAAGTTGAATCAATATATAAAATTATAATATATATTTGCAAGACTTTATTTTAAGAAGGATGAAATGTTTGAAATACCATAACGAACATTTTCATCGATGATACGTGAATAGCATAATTTAGGGCTTGTTAATAATGTTGCCATATCATAACCACACAAGGGTCCATAACGAGCATCTATACACAAAATTTGCTTACAACTCGTAAGAACTGAGACTATATATATATAGGGTTTTGCCTTTCGGACCAAAAAACCTACGTCAGCAAAATCCCATTAATTGAAATTGACTTAACGGACACAAATTTATATATTTTAATTCACACCAAAAAATATATATAATCTTTTTTTTTTCTCTGGTGATTTCAATACGTTCAGACATGGCTGTCTTCCTCATGAAGGAGTGGGACCTTGTGTTCTTCGTCGGTATGAATTCCTTTAACATGTTTGGTCTCTTTCTTTGGAATCTGGTTCTCTTCGGTTTCTTTCATTTGGCCCCACGTCACCGTGAAATATCCCACCCCTCCTATTGCTGCTCCCAACACACTGCACCTCACCAATTACACCCACTTAAATTTTGGCTGAAACATTTTACAGTCTGATTCTGTAACCAATTTTGACCATATATTATAATAATTCTCCATGGCGTTAATTGAAGAATCTTCACTATAAATTGTTAAAATGGAAATTTTTCTACATAAACGTGGACAAAAAACAGTACGTACGTCCATACCTGCCATAGTGAAGGCTATTGACGAAGAAGCTGGTGCCGAAAAGAGCGGCCCAAAATATACCAAAGGGCTTGAATAACGGCACGTAAAATGGTCCTTTCATCTTGGTGCACTTCACTTGCACACTCGTACGTACCACGCTCCCGAATATTCCCTGCATGTATATTTCCCATGCAACATGCACGTTCCGTACGTACACCACTTAAATTAATTGATGATTTATATAAATGACAGAGTAAAATAAAAGGAAATATATATACCGTGACAATGATGAGGAGAAGATCGAAGTCGGGTTTGATAACCCAAGCGGATGGGTCTCTCTCCATAAATATTGAGAAGGTGAGACACTGCAATGTCCCGATTATGCTGTAAAACGACGCCACTTTCATCACCTGCGGATATTTTTGGACTGTCCCCATCTGCCCAAATATTACAATAATACATGTCCACACACACCCACCAAAAAAATATATCAGTACTCGCTGTGGCGTACGTGTGCATTGCATGTATGTATTATATTATAAAACACACGTAAGATCGAACTGCTACCAACAAATTAATATTTAAAAAAAAAACATTTCCGTCATCATTTTCGATAATATCTCCCAAAAAGAAAATCGACGTCATCACCAATCATTTTATAATCGTTAAATTTACCACTTGCATGGATTTGTTTGGTGCCCGGGTTAGAAGTCGAGACAAAATAATATCATATAACACGTACGACATCTTTTAGGTCCATGTTTACTAGGTGAATATTGCACGGTTGCACCATTCATTTGACGTGTTAGCCCTAAGGACGAAAAAGAATAAAGAGGATATCTGTTGTATCTTCCATATATGTTGCTATGTTAGAAATCTGATTGCGTATAAAACGTAACAATGCTTCTGTGAATGAGACACGCCGTATTTCGTCTGCAGCTTGCGGTTTCTGACACGTGACAAAGAACACTAGATCCAAAGCATTATTTAAAGCTGATTTACTATTAAGTCATTCATTACGTTATCTTTTAGTAATTTAGATTAATCGTATGATGAGTACCTGAATGGCGTTGAAGATCGAAACAGAGAAAGCCGCGGCTGCGAGAAAAAGGCCGCCCAGAACCCAGTTGTCGGGGATCTTGTAGTAGACGAAAAGCCGAGGGATCGATCTAAGCAGTTCGGTCGGGGAAGAAGAAGAAGAAGGCCTTATGTAAGGACCTTTGTAGAATTCCTCGACAATCGCTCCACTTATTGATATCAATGAACCAATCACTTTGGCTCTTGTGCTCTTATTTTGCCACTCTAAGCTGCTCCTCCTATATATATATATATATATATACACACCAAAAGTGTAATGTATGTATAATGACAAATTAGTTGTTGTTATATATGAATGTTGTATTGGTTTTGGGATGAGATATTGTACATATAAATACGATTAGGGAGGCGTAAAATATATTTAGAAAGAAAGAAAAAGTACATGATATTATCATATAGGGGAGAGAGGGACTAACCTGAGAAGGAGAGAGAGCAAGAAGGAGAAGGAAGGGATGAGCAAACCCATTGCACATACCACGATGGGTGAACTAAAGCTTAGTCCCACAAATGCCAAATTCTGGAACATAAATATCCTAACAAAGTAATTTAATAACGAAATTAGATTGAACTAACGAATAAAAAAAGAATATGTGACGTGTGTATATATATATATATATATGTATATGTGTCTGCATGTATATACGTAAGAGAGCACAGAAAAATCTTGGTGCAACGCCATGCACTTTGTATTTAAATCGCACTGAAAATTTAGAACAGATAAAAAATAAAAGGTGGGTGCGTGCAAGCGCCGCACTCGAGCAAATTTAACGTCACCGTGTGGAAAATTTGGCAAATACATTATATTATACGATAATTTTGCACATATGTGGCGAATTATGTAATATGTACCAATCTGCATGCAATTCGTTTCCCCCCCTCTCTCTCTCTCTCTCTCTCTCTCCACGTAGCTAGAAGACGTGGCACAGTTGTCGAAGTTTCTAATCCACCAATTAGCATTTTCATATTCCTTTCCAGAAATGGTCCAATCTTATAACAGATCATTTGCTGCCATGGCCACTTGAACATGTACATCACCATTATGATGAGATTTATTCAAATGATTTCTGACCTCAGTATTAACATATTGGATTTTAGGGGTTGATATCCTCTTTTCATGTAACCATTTATCTAAATCTATCAATATTTACATCGATCTATCAAGACAAGTTTATGTAAGGGTGTAATTGAGGATTAACCGGTATCAAAACAACGTTAAGTGACTGTGAGGAAAATAAAAAGGAGAGAGACGCACCCGGTGAAACCAAGGAAGAAAACGCGAACGAGAAGAGGCCGAGAGAAGATGGAGAGTTGGGTTCTGAAAAAGACGTAATATTAATGAAATTAGTCAGACGATTTAATTAGAGATTAATCGAAAGAAAGGTGACGAATATGTATTTCAATCGGTGGACCGACCTATCATGTCTGTGAAACAAGAAGGAGAAAGGAAGAAGAAGAAAGGATCCGAGAGCGTTTGTGTAAACGACGAACACAAAAGGACTCATCCCTCCCGTCAATGCTGTTTTTGCCATAATCGTTAAGGCGATCGTGCATCCCTCCATCAACACCATTACCAAAAACGGCGCGGTTTCTTCTCTCCTAACCTTTACTTCCATAGCTACCACCGAAGAAAAAAAACGGCACAATTTTCTCTTCTGATACTTGAACACGACACGGTTTCTTCTCCGAGGATCTTGGATGAATTATGTACAAAGGAGAGATAATGAGATCCTTTGGGAAATAATAATGGAGAAGATGAGAGAACGCTGGTTTTGCTTTCTTGGACCTTATATTATATAGACGGACGAAATTAATAATGTATTTCTTTTACATTTTCTGTATATTCTTTTTGGGAATGTAACCTTTCACGAAGAGGTGAAGCTACTTTAAAGTTGTGACGAAGCAACACGAGTGACTGTGTCTGCACTAAAAAGATGCTTACGTCATATTTTATTTACATTCTTATCAAAACAATTCATTTTTATAAAATAAAGATTATTATATAATATATAATATATGGTTACGTCGGGTTTGTATTTTTGTTCCGTTCGAGCAAGACTTGGAACGTAGACCAACTCACATACGTCAGCAAATCATTGTTAATTAATCATACACCAATTCATCCAATTAAATTACAACACATGTATTTATAAATCCACCGAACATCTGCTTGAACAAAAAAAAATAATAATAATAAGAATAAGAATAATAATAAACATTTCGCAGGGAATATCTTCAGGCTGTAGATATCATATATATGCAACTGATAAAAGCCATGCCATGATTCTATCAAACATAATTAATAAGTGCTGTTTTAAATGGATTTCTAAATAAATACCTTTAATTGCGTTTATTTTGATTTTCAAATGCTAATGCAAACTAATACAATATTTGTTAAATTGTGTAGATTCTTCCCAATGCAAAAGGGTTATTGCAAAAGCTTGTATTGTGGATCTTTGATCCTGGACTGTCCATATTTTTTTATTAATATACACCACATTAAAATAAAAAAAAATATATATATATATATAATATTTGTGGGACTATCTCTTATGTGGTGGAGGTTGAGAAAGGGCCCACATAAAGGCGTATTCAAAGTTGTGGGGTCCAAATGAAATAATGATAAAATAGATTGCCCGAAATCTGAAAAAAGGCGTCATTTCTAATCAACCCCTCCGGTAGAATCCAAGTATTTGATACCTAGATGGGTAGTGGATTCATACAAAGGAAAAATTAGGTTATAGGTCTATCGTTTAATTAATCCCCTAATATTTGTGACGCTAGGCCGGTGAATATGTGATGATGGCTAATTAGACTATACCCATCATAAAATATATTTCTCTTTTTTTTTTAAATAATAAAATCCTTTATTTATTTAAGTAATTCTAATGTTTCAAAATTAAACATTTAAATAGTATCCAATATATGGTTTTAACTCAATTAAAGCAGACTACAAGCATATAATTCGGTTAAATTAATAAATGTGCCTACATATATATATATATATATATATGTGTGTGTGTGTGTGTATAATTTGATGAATGATGTTTTAGTGAAGAAATTGCTCTCCTATTTTAATATCAAAGTGACTCTTCGTAGTGATATTTGGACCAAATCGTTAAGCTCATAATTCATTTGGTTGCATTCGAATTAAACTGTATACAGAATAAAAACATGCAACGAATAAATACGTATCCAATTGTCCCCTAATTGATTTTATAAGTTTTGTTACTTAATGTTCAATTCTTCTTTTTATGTATACTCCAGTTTTTTTTTTCCGTATACTTGGGTTACTTTCTGTAAAATGATTTATAAATGCTTGTGGTACTTTTTTGTTGTGATAAAGCTCGGGCCTCTAGATTTGGTTTGATGGGCTTTGATATGTGGCCCAAATTAGGATTCGTGATGTGCACGTGGGCCGCCCCGACTATTCAGCCTTTGCTTTTATATACTTGAAACTGAAAGTCACACGCGCACTATATGCGCGTGAGAATCACCGCCATAAAATGTCCACACTATAGTCCAGGCATTTTCCCTAATTTTATTCGGAAGGGAAAATCAGGCGCGTGGAGAAGGTGGTTTATTGTTCGCAATAGTTGCTTTATTCCTTCCACTCCGTTTTTTTTTTTTTTCCACATAATTGCTTGAAATCTGAGAAAAAAAAACTTGGAATTAGATGGCGCCGGAAAAAAAGACGGACATTTTTTTAAACGACTTGGAATCATATATATATATATATATAATAAAGTAACACAATTAAATCACATTTTTAATCTGACCAGTGCGTTGGATATTTCAGAATAACCGTGCTTCTATACGCCGAAAAATGAAAATATGTCTCTTGTGAAAACTACATTATATCATGCATCACGGGCCGTGGTTCTACAAACCAGTAATTACCGATTTGTATTAATTCGTCCATATATAAAATATATATATTTGAATTCAGATTTATAAATTGAAGTTATTTGTAAATCGAATTTATATTTTACAATTTTATGGTGATATCCTTGCTTTACCCAACATAATATCAATTTTTATACATTTATTAAAAATTATAAATTTTTTCCTTTTTATGGTGATATTGTCGATATTTATAAACATGCAAAAAGCTACAAACTGGTTTGAATATCTAAAATTTAGAAAATCATGATATTCAGAGATGAATGTCAAATTTTAATAACCGATATTCAAACAAAAATTCAACTATTTAAAATTTTCGACTGGTGTCCATCCATAAACACAAAAAAAGGACACACCTTGTACTAATCAACGTAAAAACCCCATTTCAAGTCACTAAAATTTATTGTTTTGATTTGACCATATCATCAACCAAATTGCCATTGTTAAAGCAAAAAAGACGTTAAAGGACTTTAGAGATCTGATCACTCGTACCATACTGAGGCAAGATCTAATTAGTGATTGTATATGGGATCAACGAGACAATGGTTTGGATGAAGGATTTTAGCCGTGGTTAGGTTTTTTTTTTATCTCGAATATGTACCTCATCTCGCCTCTATTTCCTCATCTCTGCCTCGCCTTTGCCCTTGCACGATAACCCACGAATACCCGAACACCTCGGGTACCTACACAACCCGAGTCCGGGCACAGATTCCAACTCTCAAAAATCCAAACGACTCGAATTTGAAATCAAATACCTCAAAATTTCGGGTACCCTTTGTTGTATAACTCCTCACAACTCTTAAATCAGGAGAAACATCAAATTAGCTTCGACCTTCACGAGGTGTATAGCAGGTTTTCACATTCACATGTCCTATCGGGGGGACATGTCATTGATAAAATTGGAAACGTTGCCTGTCGGATCTTAGTGATAGGCAGCTGCCTCGTCCTTGAATTGCTGCAGCAGACCCTCTATGCTCTTCACCGAGTGGTCTGATTTGTCTCTCACCCGAACACTCACCTGTAATTTCATCAATCGTTCCAAAAGATTTGTCGTTAAAAGAAATACGATTATTGGGACCGTGACAAAGTTTGGGACCAGCAAAATTAACCTGTCCGGTTTTAGCTTCATCCTCACCCACGACCAGTATGTAGTTATACTGCGCCAACTGAGCTTCTCGAACCTGAACCGGCAACATATCCCCATCTCACTCAAAAAAAAAAAAATGGCAACACGAAGCAACCATTGATTTCAAAAAATGGGTTACCTTCTTCTGGATCTTCCTATCGGATAGGTCCACATCAACATAGTATCCGGCATCATGGATCTGGTCCCTCACCTATTGTATTGTATCGGACAATAAGAATTGAGTAAAGATCAGAACTCATAATGATAAACAGAACATCGGAGACAATGGTATGAACAACCTTTAATGCGTATGGAGACGATTTCTCAGAGACGGGGCAAACAATGGCCTGTCGTGGACTAAGCCAGAAGGGCCATTTTCCTTTGTAGTGCTCCAACAATATGGCAAACATACGCTCCACTGATCCTAACACTGCTCTGTGTATCATTACAGGTCTCTCCCTCTTGGCTTCGTCCTCGGCTGAGTATTCCAGTTTGAATCGGTCCGGAAGTTGGAAGTCAAGCTGAGTTGTGAGCCCACATAAAAAAAAAAAAAGATGATGAATTTCAGTGCTGAAGATAGCGAGAGATGTGTGCTTAATAGGGAAAATAAGACGCTTTGGAAGAGTATAAACCTGTAGAGTAGCACACTGGAATTTCCTATTCATTGCATCAGAAACGGTGATGTCTATCTTTGGTCCGTAAAATGCTCCATCTCCTTCATTTAACTGCCCAAATCAATAATACAGATATTAAATTAGAATAAATCCTGGCCATACCAAGAGGTATTCCACCACTTCAGAAAAATCAACAGCGTATTACAGAGTTACAAATAACATTGTGTTTATATACGAGAAGAGAGACTGATGTTCATACCTGCCATGGCTTCCCAAAGGCATTTAGCGCTTCTTTAAGAGCGTTTTCAGCTCTATCCCATGTTGCCAAGTCTCCTAGGTACTTCTCTGGCCTCTAAAAAAATTCAGAACAACATTCAAATAATGGGCCACTGAGACATGCACCTCAAGTAATGTTAATTCTATCAAATAGATTTTTGCACATATCATACTGTTGAAAGTTTTAGCTCATAGGTAAACCCAAAAATTTTGTAAGCATAGTCAATGAACTCCAACACACCCTTCACTTCTTCTGTAACCTGAAAATCGGATAGATGACGATAATTATACCAAAAAGGGAGTGGGGTTCAAGGTTGCACCAACATTGCTGGATAAAGAAACACATTCCACAAACCTGAGACTCTTTACAGAATATGTGTGCATCGTCCTGCAGAAAATAATAAGAGGAAGGCACTTTAGAAACACCTAGGTTACATGAAAAGGGACCAAATACAAAATCACAAATAAGTGAAGGGATTAATTCCCATCAACAGCAGGATAAGGTAGCCAGTTTGGTCCACAAACCCAATCATTGTGATGGAAAAGGAAAGTCAGCAAGTCTTAGTGTGATTTTATGAACAAGAAAACAAGTATGTGAGGATTAAGAGTGATACCTGCTGGAATCGACGAACACGAGTTAACCCAGTAAGTGCTCCACTTGCTTCATTCCGGTGCAACACACCAAAGTCAGCCAGTCTGAGAGGTAATTCTGCAGACCATTTACAAAGTAAGCGGAAAATATCAACAATGAAAAATAACAACACTTGACAAAATAGTCAAGATTCCTTCCCAATTGTTCTCTTAACCATCAGATTGATGAAGCCTTCAGCTCTCTGTATATTC